TGGCTTGCGGACACTGAAGGAGAGGAGGCGGGACACTGCCCAATCTCAGACATTCTGCATGAGAAACACAGGTAAGTGACCACGATCATCTGACAGAAGATGATTATCTGAGTTGGCCACTTACCTGGTTTAACAGTCCAGTCCAAGAATGTCCCCGAGTGCTGCAGTCCCAGAGGACATGCTGGAAGCCGATCCTGGTCAGGGATCCAGAGCAGAACAGGAACAGACAGAAACAGGATTCAGATCAGGCAGGAACAGAACAGGTGGCAGGATCCAGACTTCCAGGCATCCACAAGCTCCCAGGAAGGTTCAGAGTCTGACAGGGTCCGAAAGCGTGACCAGGTGGTCATGCACAGGAGCAGACAGGATCAGGTGCAGATGGGCAGGCTCAGTGGCAGAAGGTATCCAAGACAGGACGTGGAACCAGAACTTGATGCAGGACCTTTAAACTGGTCTCCTCCCTGGAGCCAGGCTTACTTGGATAAAAACTGAACCTCCCCACATATAGAGCCAAAAACCCAGAGGACTCAGCGGGGGAGGAACAGTGGACGATCAGGAGACGAGACAAACACAAAACCCTCTTTCCACTGGCTGCTAGGATCCAAAACATGAACCAAGGAATCAAAATAACAGAGAGGCTAACAAAAAGACAAATAATGATCTGGCACTGAATGCTCAGGCTGAACTGAATATAAACCAAAGGAATCAGGTGAGAGAAATAAATGATAACCATAGACTGTCCACACATCCCAATCAGGGCCCCATCAGGCCCAAATGAAGGGGATTTTGTGAACCGAAAGGGGGTTCACTGTGTAAATGTGCAGGTAAGTTACTTTAAAATTTATAATATTCCAGATTAGCAATATCTTACATAAAAAAAGGAATAGAAGCAAAAAGTATGCAGTTCACTGACTATAATCTCTTATATGGTGTTTGACTCTATCATATGACAAATGTGGATGCAAAATTCCCAGGATCAGTGCACGACTCAATAATTTTTAGAGAGTCACATTTATGTACATTATTTGAACGTGGTAAGGGAACATGCATATCAGGTTCACAGTATTAAACACACTTATGCTGAGCCTAACAAAACTGACTTTTCCATTAATGGGGATTTTGATGGGCTCCTGCTCGGAGACAGGGGCTATGCCGGCAGGCAGTATTTTATCACGCCCTTCCCTGAGCCAAACCCTTGACCACAAACCTATTCGACCTTGTCCAGCTCTAGCCAGGACAAGGGCATGCAGTGAAATGACCTTTGGGCAACTAAAGGAAAGATTTCAGTGTCTAAAACGTCTAAGGGTTGCAACTGACCTGACAAGACCTGTGACGTTATTGTTGCATGTACCATATTGCATACCATTGCCACTATTAGAAAGGAGAGGATCCCTGTGGTGGGGGTGCAGCCTGATGATGACCTCCAGCCAGTGCACTTGGACCAACCTAGTGGCAGAGCTGCATTGGACAAAATTGTGGAACACCATTTTTGAATGTTTAATAAAAGACACGACAAATATGCTTATAGTTGTGTAAATTCAGCAATACCTTTATCAGAGGCAGTGGAAACAGTCAGGCCACGTCTTCAACAAGATAGTGTAGCAACAGTTTTATTGCCTTATATATCCTTATACGTGGCCCTATACTTTCTTAGCAACAAAACAGTACATGCTGAAGGTCAAGTATGAGTCTTAGCAATAATAAGGTCTCTAATGGCTTATTCGTATGCAATTAGATGATGTATGAGGAGGTTTGGCGTAAACAGAGAACATCTGTATAAACATCCTTCTAGTGTCAAAGCAACTTTGGTGCTGACTAGCACACGTGAATTCCAGTAAGCTTGCGACATGATATTCCTGTGCATGTGCAGTTACGTAATGCGATGTTGAGACTATAAAACAACTGAGGTGAAATGAGAGTTTTGGGGGAATAACTGAATTGTGACGATGCAGTGCTTAATGTATGGAGTGGTTAAGACAGCTGAATGAATTTGGTTTTTTAATTAAATGTTTCCCCCCTCCGGATGATAAAATGGTGTGAATTGTGGCCTTATTTCTGTCATAAGGGAATTCTACCAATGAGCTTCCATAATAGTGACTTAAACAATAGGACTAATTTCACTCCGGACCAGGTCTGCATGCTACTGGGCCTTTGTCTTTCCACAACCTATTTCAAATTCAGAGATAATTTTTACAGACAGAAGCATGGTTGTGCAATGGGATATCCAATGTCACCAATTGTAGCCAATCTTTACATGGAAGAAATGGAAAAGAGAGTTTCAGTTATTACATTCATAATGTAATTCAATTCAAAATGTAATTCAAAATGTCTGGATGCAAATCCAGACATTTTTAATTGAGAAAGCTTCCTGGAGGGGAAGTGAAACGTCTTCAAACCTTTGAAACAAAGTCCCGTGGATTATTTTAAAACTTTTACAGAAAGACTATGACCTAGATGACAGAGAATCTTCACCAGCTTTATGTTGGACCTGTTTTTACATATCCTGTCATGGCAAGTCAGGTATGCACTACGGGAAAGTTGTTTTTTACAAGTTCTTTGAAGTCTTGAATCAAAGTGAAATGTGACAAATAAGAATGCAGCAGCAAATAATCATTCCTGGAAGCTGAATCTTAAACAGGCAGATGTACTGCTAGGTGGAATAGTTCCTGTCACAGACATGGTGAAAGATAGCTCTGAGAAAAGCAGCATAACAAACTTTGGAGTTTTTTACTGAGCGTTAGTTAATGCTGGATATTTTCCAGCATGTCTGGTTGAGCTTATGTCTACTGCCAAAGAATAATTGAAAGCTAGGTGTCTTCTGATGAAGCAGCCAATCCTTTAGAAGTCACATTCTTTTTTTTTTTTTATCTCAAAATCTGATAAACATAACCAAAATTGGACTTTGCAAGACAGGAAAACTGCTTCTACTGCCTTCCTAACTAAAATTGGAAAATATTAAAAGCCTTCAAAAGAACATTTTCATGTTCCAACCACAATAATCAATGTGCTTGACACAGGGAATAGCTTTAATGCATTGCCTTTAAATAAAATACACTACAACCTCCCAGAGGTCAGAAGTCCTGAAATCAGTAAACAAAACTGAGTTGTGCTTAAAGTCCAATCAGTCAGTAAATCTCACAGTGTTAAATTTTCAGTGTCAAAGTACTTTGACTCTTTTAGAGTTATTACAACAACAACTGTAGTAAGATATACAATATGTTGAGAGCTGAGCTATCTCTATAGTTATGCTGCTATAAGCTTAGACTGCTGGAGGACATAGTGACCCCCTTTTCATCATTCTGCTTCATTCTCTTTTCTCCCACTTTGCAGAATTTGTTATTTCAATCTCTAACGTTTCCAGAAATGCTTTTTCATTTTCAAATTTTACATTTCAAATTAAAATTTGGTATGTATTTCCTGGGGTACATTTTTAAAAATAAATCTCAAATGTCTTTTTCATTTTAATTAAGTAAAAGGATGAGCCGTGTTGAAAAAGAAAATGAAAATGCAAATAGGATGATTGATTACTAATTTCATTTATGAGCCAAACAATGCAGCCACATTCTTAAAATGAAAAAGCATTTCTGAAAGTGCTTTTTCATTTGAAATATGGTAACGATTTGCTTCCATAGATTGCAACATCAAAGAGCAGGGGTGACAGTGGGAATGGATCAGATATTATACTATTCTTTCTTACCATAGCTTGGGTGTTCGCATATATATTAACTCAATCCATGAATTAAATATTGCACTAAATCCGAATCTCTCAAGGATCGTAAACAAATAATGATACCTTATTTTATAAGGTCAGTACATTTCTGCAGTGCATGTGCAATAATCCAAGTCATTAATGTATAGTCTCCAATTAACTCTCTACTGTGCAGATATTTTTTTTATCAAAGGGAAACATATTCCAGGGCATTATTTTTTCCTTTGTTATGCTTTTTTGTACTATATACACTCTTCTTATATTGTCTGTTGTATTTTTATCTTTAATGGCATCTTGCTTTGACTCTTTATACTCAATAAAAACTACTGGAACCAGAATTTCCCTGAAGGAGTATTCCAAAGGGATAAATAAAGTTGAGTCTAAGTCTACGTCTATAAGCTGGGCTCTAATGACCGACCATGATTTAGAATTAGATCAGATTAAAAAAGACTAGGTGCCTACTGCAATTCAACATTGGTGCATTAAGTGGAAAACCATGGACCTGCTGCTCACCTGCAGCATTTACTGTGTAAAATACCAAGTGGGGAAGCCGCAACCCCGAAGCACCGCACTCGCCCAGTGTTTGCAGTCTTTCCAAATTGGGCCGAATCACAGCTTGAGCTCTTATTTCTTTCTGCTCTTCTTACATCAGCTCTACATCTGCCCTGTCTTTGCCTCAGAGGTCCTGTTTAAGCTGCTTCCCACACTATGTTTGGTAAGGGTAGTGAATTACTGATGAACAGAGAAGGTCTGCCAATCCTCTATGGAGTAATGAGCTTAGTGTTAGCTGCTTCCCAATGTTATAAAAGTCTATCTTCTTTCAAAAATGTTTCAGGATGAAATTCTAGACTTATGTGTAATTTCGATTTTCACAAATGGTCAGTGTTATTTCTGGTAATACATTTAATAAATCATACTCATTTTACATTATAAAAAAAAAATAGGCCCACCCAAAGAGCCAAATATATTTCTGGATTTTACTAATTAAATATGTGTTAAGACCGGTGGAGCAACCTGAATATCTAAAACGTTCAAGTTTTGTTTTTGTCATTCACAAAATTTTAACTCACCTCTAGCTTCCTCTTACTCTCTTAAAAAATAAACAAATAAATAAATAAATAAATAAAATGACGGTGCTAGACAAATGTGGATAACCCAGTCTGATTGCAATCTGTCAGAAGAAACCCAAACTGGTTAAACTGGTTGATCTTCCTTAATCCTGCTTTCAGTAAATGATCTAGGTATTTCCTTATAGAAAAGTATAAAAAGGGTCCACTTTTGTGAGGGACAGATCCTCATCAGCATGACATCTCTTGCACCGCTTCTGCTGCTCCTGTTGCTCCTGGTCGCTGCTGCATCTGCAGCATCCAGCAACTACCGGTCCTATGGTGGATCAGTAGCCTTCACCTCAAAGGGACGGAACGCAGATGGAACCTATGAGGTGAGTCTTCTTCCACATCTTTTAGAGTATAAAGCTCTGCTTAAAAATAAGGGATTAATTCGGACAAAACCTTTTTTTCCCTTTATAGATTATATAATTTGTATAAAATGTGCATTATTTGGGCAAATGTGGGTGTGTAAAACAAGATTTACTGTGAATCTTTGCAGGTAGAACTTCGACAAAGGAACACTCCATATTACTACCACCATTCAAATGTTGATGGAACTTGCTGGAGTGGTAACTGTGGGACCCAGACACAGCGCTCTGTGGAATCCGTCTCTTCTGGTTCTTATGGTGTCACCTGGAGACAGTATGAAGTGACAACAAATAGACAACTGACCAGCAATCTGCCCTTTGACATGAGGTGGGCTCTGATAAGCTTCCTACACTGAGTATTAGACCTTGAAAAGTTTTAAAGTTTGAAAATCAAAATATTTATTTTTCTTTGTATGCCCAAAAATTCTTTAATATTGTAAACCCATTGAGATATATAACATTTGATAAAGATTCTTTGATAATGATAGCGTGTTATCTTATTAAACATGTTGCCAACAGATATCCTTACAGATATGAATACTACTGGGGTTATGGCTATTGGATCCAAAACGTCAGAGGTATTAACCTCGGGTGGAGAATGATGACACATGTGGACATGGGAATCCGATCAGACACTGGTGAATCTAACAGACCTCCTGCCATCATCACACCTCATCTTATCAGGTAGCCACTCATTGTTTGCTTGTTCTCCTTTTACTTTCCCTATTTGACCATAAATCTGTTATACTTAAGAGCAGATTTTAAAAGATTGTTGGAACATGTCAGACATTAAGAGTCATTCCTCGCCATAAAGCATTGAAGTCGGGTTCAATTTAGTAGTATGACAGGTAAACAGTTTTGCATTTAAGAAAACTCAGCCTTTTGCATTAAGTTCTTAACTTTGCAGCATATTAAGTGGCAACAATTATAAGTAAAAAAAAAAAAAAAAAAAAGCGTATGTACAGGAAGAAACCTCCAGCAGAACCAGAACTTAGTTTGGTGTGAAGGGCTTTCTGT